TATATATATATATATATATATAAAGGGCACCAGTATCTCACTTTCAGTTTCTCAAAAGATATTTTTCTTACAAAAATCATACATTTTATGGTAAAAATTATTGTTGAAAAATGTCTTAATGATTAATAGTTTATTTTTATTTGTAAAGTTTTCAATATGTTTATATTGTATACTTAGGTAACAAACATATTATAAACGCAATTTAACTTTTAAGATCGTTAAAATATGTTAGTTTCTTAAAGTCATACGATTTCTCTTCAAAATATTTAATACTCACTTTCAAAATTTCCAAATAGTATATAAGATAACAATCAATTCACTTACAAACTAGCAATATGATAGATTTTATCAAGATATCTGAAATGGCCGAAGTTTATTGTATTTTTTTTAATACAGAACAAGAGAAGACGAAACTCTCTCTATAGGAAACAGGACTTTTCGTTAAAAAAATATTGAATGATAGTAAACAGCTTTTGCTATTTATACACTCAAAATAAAAGTAATCTTATCTTTTTTCATCGGTTTCGATTACATTGCCAAGAGAAGAACTTGTGAGATAGTCGTGGCCATTATCGCTATGCGCATCGTTTGAAGAGAACATAATCAAGTAATTGATGCCTCACGGCAAAATGCAATTTGCATTCGCGTACCATGGAGAAATTCTTCATCAAATTTTCGATTTCAGTGGAGATATGTTTCCAGAGAGATGGTTTCATTCTAACATCTCTACTCTTCGTTTTAAATAAACAATTTTCTGCTCTTTTGAATGACAAAAAATAATAATCACAGAATAAAAAAAAGATTTTGCCTCTTCCACTTTCGTTGCATGATTCTTCAGTGAATGCAGGAAAAATAAAAAAAGTTGCATCCCAAAGCATCTTTATTTTTTTGCTTCTCTTGTTTGCTTTCGTTTCCGTTTTTGTTGATTTTTTGTGTAAACTTCTTCCCTTGCTTTTTCATCTTAGAAACGCTGTTGCTGATGTTGAAAAAGTGGAATTAAAAATTGGGAAGTGAGGGAAAAGAGTCTAAAGAGTATTCTTGCAAGCCGCAAGAAAGCCCTTAGGGTCAAAAAGAACTCTTGAGAATAACTCCTTTCGCTAGTGTCATACTCAGTGATTTTTGCCAAGTCTTTTCCTCAGGCCTTTGTAGATCCCCACTCCCTCTTTCTGTTTATTTTACATTCTTTTTTTTCCTTCTAAAATATCATAATCCGAAATATATATATATATATTTTAAAAAATGTGCTCTTTCTTGGCTTTCAACAATCAATCTTTTTTTTATTAGAGAGTTTCCGTAACGTAGACTGTGATTTTCAGTTTGAATAATTTCTGTTTTTATTTTTATTTTTTAAATCAGAGCTTTAAAACTCATATTCCTGACATTCAAATGTATGTGCTTACCCAAATGAAAAGAAAAATTTGATTTCAGTGACGTTATTCCAAGTGATAGAACGTTGAAATTTTTTCTTGATAAATGCTTCTGCATGCTTAGGAAAATTCGATATCAAGTTTATAACGATGCGTGTCGCTTCATGTAAAATATAAAAAACAAGTTACAATAAGGATTTTTAAGCATGTTCTAAATTCTTATTTTATAAAGTCTGAGGTTTTATTTAATATCCAAAACAATTTAAGGTTTCATTTTTTGGAGACCGTCCATAAAAAGGACTGGTTACAAGTTTATTAAAAATACTTTAACACTGTGAGTTAAAGAATAATGCCTTTTTTAAAGTAATAACTTTTTTAAAAAGGTCTAAATGCTTAAATGAAACTAATTTAATGGTAAATGTAAAAATATAAATTAGGGTGTGATGCCGGATCAGTTAGCGTTTGTATTAAATTTTGTGAAGTTGATGTGA